CCTACATATTCCAGAACAGTTCTCAAATCTAATTCTCTGAATTGTCTGAACTGTCTATACTTCAAAAGCCAAGAAACTAGCGTTCTCAGCACAAGAGTACGGGTATGTTCATGCTGTGTTCAAGGGCTCAAACACCACTTAACAGAAGACCCTGCTTATTATACTAGATAACAGCAGTGAAGATTTCCATCAGCTCCTGATTACCTAGAGAAACGGGGGGGCTTAGGAAGTAAGGTGTAAAGATATACATATGCCATGCTCTAAGAATACGTGAAGCTGTTCTGGAGAAAAGAAAGAGCGGGATGCTGTTATTGATGGAGCACAGAGATTCCCGACGGGTCAGTCCACACGGCCCAGTGTCATCCAGACATCCAAGATGCAGAAGCAGCACACACAAGAGACAGTAGGTCAGCTCTGCTGGCGGGCCATACTGACTGTATACGATCCAGGCTGAAGAAATCACCACCTGGATGTTGTTTTATACATCTGTAGCCAGTGCCTCAGGTCTTTTTCTTTTTAAGGCTATTTCTCCTATAGGTTTCCAAGGACCTTATCTGATATACGAGAGTGCGTGTGGATGTTTACTCACAAACCCTACTGGGCATAAGCTGGCTTATGCTGAGACCAGTAAGATGCATTAGTATCCATCATGTGGTTAAACTGCAACTGAGAAGTCAAGCCTGAAAAATCGAAAGCTAGCTGACTAAGGTTTTCTTCCAGTCTTCTGCTAAAGTGTATAGTGAATAGCATATGCCAGGAACTGTTGTTTGTACTTGAGATTTCAATGCAGGTTTCAAGGAGCTCTTTACAGAGCACACCGAGGGACACACGGCGTAAGTACTGCTCAGATTCACTGGAGAGATGCTGAAGGTTTTGAAGGGGAGAGTGCCACTTTCATTAGCACCAGCCAAACACGTTTATGCATTTCCTAGCAATACAGGAATACACTCAAATGGGGGCTGTGTTTGCACCTTTATCTTCCCTTACGTCTGCTGAGCAAACCCTGATGCTTGGGTAGACTCCACCCAACATCTAATGCTTGGGTAGACTCCGTGCAACATCTACCTGGCTCACACAAGGCGAGAGGAGCTGCAACTTCAGTTGAGGGCAGGGAGCACAGCTCAGGGAGGAGGAGGAAGTTCTGGTACCAATCCTGCATAGACATTTGGAGTGCCCACCTGCATGATGTCTTGGAGGCTTTTGGTGAAGGATAGCTCAGCCTCCACCATATAGAACTCCGCCAGGTGCCGGCGACTCTGTGAGTTTTCCGCTCGGAACGTCGGGCCGAAGGTGAACACATGGGTAAAAGCCCTGTAAGGCAATAAGAAATAGGTAGGTCAGACCCAGCGCACAAGCGAGTCTGTTAGACGTAAAGCCTTTACTTCTCTCACAGGATCGAGAAGCACTTATGTTTCCATTTCATCTTTGACCAGAGAGGGGTTATTCACACCTCTCCATAACTCAGGGAGGTTGCACAAACCTCCTGCTTAGCTTTCACTGAACGCCATTCGTGCTCAGGACACTTTTTGTAGCTGTGTGGGAATAAAAAAATGACATTCTGCAGAAGCAGATCACTGGTGAAGCACCCAAACATCGCACCAGTCAGGCTCCCCTCATCCAAGTCTCTTCAGATTTGTTTGGCTGCAAGGTCTGACCTTTATGGGTGCTGTGACACCCCAGAGCCCAACAGAGGTGAGAGGGTCCTGCCGCTGGAGTTGCTGGGCTGGTGTTAGCACTGAAAGGTGGCCGGTGAAGCCCAGCAGGAAGATTGTACGGTGTACAGCTTGCAGTCCCCCTCTAGTGGCAAGACCAAAGTTCATTGCTGAAAGAGCCTTTGAGATGAAGAACTGGGCTCCTTCCAGACAGCTAAATTTGTTTCAGCTAAAAGGGGTCCCTACTGCAGAGAACACATCTGGGATATCATTTTATGCCGAAGCAACCAATGCATTTCCTACTATGAAACTATTTCTCCAGCAACCTTCTGGGGAGTCTATTTAAACACATCCTCTCTTGTTCTGCAGTCACGTCATGCTGCGTTCACAGGATACAAAAGCATTCTTGATTCTCCACTTCCTTTGTAAGAATCCTTCCTATCAAACAGCAACACACCTTTAAAAGTTTTATTTTTACCGTGGGGAAGCTGCACTCCAAGCAACACCTTTTACACTGTGGGCTATGAGCACTTGGGCTCCTGGACATCCTCAGGCCATTCCCGAATGGTTGTTTCCTCCCATGCTGCATGGGAAGCAAACCATGACTGGGGAGACAGCGAGCTGCTTCAGTAAAACCATGGACTGCTGCTCTCTTTGGTACATCTTTAACTTGACATTATTTTTAGCTGTAGACAGCACGTAGGAGAAAAAGAACCCGATCACTAGATAAGCAGCACAGTTTAACACTCATGAAGGGATGCATGCTAATTGCTCGCGTTGCCATTTGACTTGCATCTCGCTCTGCAAGCTTTCAACTTAAAGAGGATGTTCGCTGAAGTTTCTGCACAGGCTAATTTTGTTAAACTGCAGTTTAAATAAACAACGCTACAAAAAGCAGCCTTTTCCCTTTGCCCCTTATGGAGGCATCTGCACTGCAAATAAAGGAACACACACATTCCGCTTCACTCATCTGTTCCCTCATGCCACACGACGGTTAAAGGTTACGATTCAGAGAAACAAGACTTTCTTTTTCCTTGAGTTGGTAGTAGTAAACACACCAGAAGAAAGTTCCAGGTCAAGACTTTGAATACATAGCCTGCCTGTAGGTTTCTCTTCCCCACTGTCTCTGCTTTCTCTGCTCAAACAAATAAACTTTCTGTCTCTGCTTTGCTCTCATACCTGCACTCTCTCATACATGACCACAGCATCTACAACGCTAACCAGATTTTGCAGCAAACATCTTTCCTCAGACATCATTTTCAGCATGCTTCTTTTCCCTCTGCTGCCTTTCTCGCTTGATGCGATGTTACCGTAAACTTCTTCCATCACTTGATGATCCTCCTTCAAACTGCCCTTTGCAATAGTGTCTATAAAAACCTCAGCAATGTTTAGATAAGTGATGTACCAAGACTATTACTCACTGCACAGGTCAGTATTATCTCATCAGTTCCTTGCGCTCTCCCATCTGTAGCCATCTGTTGTCTTGGGTTATACAGAAATGCATGTTCTTCCTCACAAGGCCTTTTTGTTTTGGGTTTGGGTTTTTTTTTTTTCCATGTTCCTACAGCACCTGGCACAACAAGGTTTTGGATCCAAAGCCTCAACTGCTATAGCAATACAAACAACAAATATGAAACAATGAGTCACTCGGCCAAAATTGTGCAGTGTTTAAGGAAGAACTGGTCAAAAACTTCTGCTTGCCAGGCCGCGGAGGTTGGCCTGTAGTGGGAAACAGGAGACGTGGGCTCTTGTCCTACCTGTGCCCGTGTTTCAGGTTTTTGCTAAAACATTTCAATTTGGGGCTCTTCAGTTAAAGAAAGAATTTTCCCTAAATAAATTGGTTTAGTCACAAGTTCAGATTGTGACTGGGCCAGAACTGGACACGGGACAAAAATATTTTGAAAAGCTTGTAATTGCTGAAGTACCCACCCAGGACTGATGGGTTTGATGTGCAGGTCTCTAATTTCTCCCTAGCATGAAATCCTCAAAAAAGTAACACTTAAAACTAAAGCGTGATACCAGCTGGCTAGCAGGAGATCCTGTCCCACAGAGCAGCAGTCTGGCTTCAGCGAGACACACATTTCTCAGCTGTTGTCCAGGCACAGGCACTGAAACTTCACTAAGCGTAAGTTACTGCGGCACGTGACAGTCTCCAGCGATGCCGGCTGCTATGAGCACTTCAGGTTGTACTTCTTTCCTATTGAACAGCCGCCCAAGAATGAGGACTAGATACTTATCTTTCAAGGGGCTTTCTGGCTGCAAGAAACCTAAAAACAATAAAAAAAAATTTTAAAATCCTTGTTGCTCCAAGATGTCAACCGTGGTCAAACACTTCAGTCACAGATCGATTCCGTGCTGCAAGAATAAAGCCTCTCTGTGTCCGAGACAGAGCTTTTAGGAGGACAAGCGCAGCACAACTCCCACTGGAACTGATTTCAGTCTTTTCCCAGCTCTAGGCATCCTGCCGGGACCAGTCTTCTCCAATTTGTACACTGAGCACCACCTACGTTTACAAAACCAACCATTAGCCCTGCAACTCCATGGACTATCCTAAGGTGCCCAACAACAGCAGGATTTTTTAGCTTTGTGATAGCCCACAGAGAACGCAACATTACTGGTGTAGGGCTGAATTTGCCTGCCTGCTCTTTAGAAGGAAAAAAAGCCCCAAATCCACAGCTATGGGGAGGAATCATTCATATCTCAGGTTAATTGTAAAGGGAAAAGATAGATAAAGATAACTGTGAGAACTTCACCACGTTCCTGGGACGCCGGCAAAGGGAAACTAGCCAGATGTCACGCTGGCAAAGTGATCAAAGGAGCGCAGTAAACCCAAGTCAGCTGGTAACGACAACGCAGCACTGACCAGAGGCCTGGACACAAGAGAGAAAACCAGCTAAAAATATAGTCACTGTTATCAATTCTAAGTGTGAACAATTATTTCTCATCCAAGCATTCATACACTTTACCGTGCTCTGCCATTCAAGACATTAAGTAAATGCACGCTACACAAACCTGACCTTTATTTGGACTTCATCTGACATTAAAAAAAAACTTATTGGTGATTTGATACACTGCTGTATCACACCGAGCATGTATAAAGATACCAGAAAAGAGGGAGGGGAGCTGACTCTGCTCCAATTTCATGGTACCCTGGGCAAACCCAGTCATTCTCTTCTGTGTGCATTCAGCACCTAGCACAATGGAGCCTCAGTCCAGGGCTGTGACTCCTATGCTCTACGATGCAAATAATCAATCATTTAACATTCCCAGACCTCTGCAAGACTTCCAGCATTTAAAAATAACTTGAAAATTCTGGCTAAGTCTCCGCAAGTGCCTAGGTCAGTTGGGGTTGTGGGCATTCAAGAGTCCTTTTAAAAAAAAAAAAAAAAATGTAGTCCTAATTCCTCATCTCCAACAAAAGCACACACACAGGAGGGGGAAAAAAAAAAAAAAAGAAAGCAAAAAGCAAGTCCAATAATCTGTCGAGCCCTTTTCCTTAGCCATTACAGGCAGAGCAGTAATGTCTGTAACGCTGTCCTTGTACGTGCTACCAAAGAACACAAGAGAGGCTTTGAAATGAGTCCCTTTGCTTCACCCAGATCAGAGCTCTGGACAGCAAGCTCGAGTGCATTTACGCAGTTCACAGGCGCTGCCGGGGTCGACACCAGAAGAAGGCACAGAGCTGCTTAATTAAGCGCTCCCTTTCTGGGACTGTATTTCGCTCTGCCCAGTTCTCTGGGAAAAATCCGAGAGCTTAATGTGGAGGCCAAGAGAATACCCACAGCGCTCCCTTCGACACCCCGAAACGCCGCAAAACTCAAGGCCCCATCCTGCGAAATGCTGAGTTTGCTTGCCCCAGCCCAGCCACCAGCTTAGCCCTAGTACCTAATAGAGCTCAGCCACGTTCCAGGTACAGGCTCACCCGAGTCCCTTCGGAAGCAGGCAGCAGCGGTTGGGTGCGTTGCGGGAACACAGCCGTCCTCCGCATGAACCATCGCTTGGCGGAGGCTCATTCTTACACAGGCTGCATTTGTGCTCTCCACCCTACGGACACCCAAGAAAGCAGAAACTTCCTCCTTTTCACCCATATTTTACACACTACTAAAACCCTCTTCAGAAGCAGCTATGTTTCCCCCTTGGAGAGCTTTATGCCACGCAGAACGAAAGCTCATTTCATTTGAGCTCATTGACAATTCATTATTGAGACAGTGATAGAAACCAACAGAGAAGTATAAAGTATCCGTGCCCAAAGCTGCTTAAAATCATCCTTTTAATTAAACTCGGGCAATGTTTGTAGGCCTGAGCATCTCTGCCTAAGTGGCAATTTTTACACTGCGATCCAAATATAATTAATTGCGTTGATGGTTCCCAAGCCAGGAATGGATTGTGCTCCTTTTCTGAGCCAGGACTCCACGCTGCTACCGGGGTAATAAAGACTTATTTATGCTGTCGAACCAAGGGGATATAACTCTGAGCAAGGCCATTAATCAAGAAGATGCAATCCCTGCACTGTCAGCCCATGCCAAGGTCACACCACATGGCAGTGACACAGCCGGAGGCAGAAGCTGGTTGTTGTGACTCGGGGCTAAGCACTAAATCACACCAGCGCACACAGCTATTCATTTGTAGGGTGCCCTTGTTCTCACCCCCAAAAATACTACAGGGGTCTACATAAACACAAATACAGTGATTACTCGGACCACGTCTGCAGTGGAGTTAAGCTGGAAGGCGATTTGTGCCAAATTTTCAGCCCTGCTTAATGAACATAATGTGACCCTTCAATATAGTATGTTCCTCCCTTCCCCATCGTCCACCAACATCCCCCCCCGTACATACACACACTGAACTCTATATTGCAAGAAAATCTAGAAACAATAGCTTCAGACCCAAGGACAAAACAAAGCATGATGTCAGCAGAGGAGGAAAGGAGAGCAAGGTGACCCTAAAGCCCAAGAGCTTAGCTTTGTCAGCCACGTTGCCCTTTCCCTTAGGAAGGGAAGAAATTAATAAAGCGAGCCATCCAATTTAATTCCACTCTGTTCCAGCACGACCATATTCATTTTGAGCATGGAGGACCTGCCTGCTCCATCAAAATGAGCAGATGACTTTGCTCAGCTGCCAGGAGACACCAGCTGGCAGCAGTGCTTGACCCAAGCACGACTGGGATTGGTCAGGGATGCTGAAATTTGTATGTTGAATGAAGCTCTGGCCCGACACAAGAAACCACACGCGTACAGACATTCACCATTCAAACATACCGATTCAATGCCTCCAGGGTCTAGTTTTTGGAGGATCTGGAAACCCAGGGCTCCTAATGATGCTAGTGAGGTATGGGTGCCCAACAGTTTGGAGAAGAGGAAGAATGTTCTACATCCTTCAGTTGGGTAGACTGTATTAAAATGAAACCTCAGAGTTGGACAGAAGTACCTGTTTTTTAGCCTCGATGTAAAAACAATACTCCCATTAGTATTGTTTGGTGGTTTGGATTTTGCACAATGAAAATGTACATGTTTCTGTTGAAAAGGCGTCGGCGAATGAATTTTACCCGGAAAAAAAAGCAGAAGAAAAGGTTCTCAAAGATTCCTCATAGAACATGCCACTTCTGTCTGCCCTCCGAGGAAGCGCAGCTGAGAAAAAGCTGTTATCTCAAGAAGGGCTTTTCTAGCAGTACGTCGAGGCTTCGCCCTGGGCAGCAGAGCTGGTGTGCTGAGTGCTAAGGTTTCAATTCACGCTGCGACAAGATGGGACTGTATTTCCTTTTGTAAGCAGCCAAAAATAAACGCATAAATTAAAAAAAAAATGCTGTCTAAGTTCCCAGACGGGACTGCGAAGTGCCAAACTTCCTCCCCTCCTTCCCCAGCCACTCAGCCTGAAGCAACGCAGCAGTTTTCCTCACTGCAACCTCCAAAGAGCAGAGTCCTACCGTGCCCGCAGGGTCGCGTGCGCCCCAGCACCCTCCTGCCACGCTCCGGGACCGGCTCTCCCCGTGCCACGTCGGCTGCTCTGGCTTCAGCGGCAAGAAAAGGAGAAGATGGGCCAAGGATCCGCCCTGGGTCATTCACCTCTGCTTGAAAACAATCCAGGCACACTTGAATAATTAATAACGTGACCCATATACCCTAATTATCTGGCAAAGCACCCCACATTTTGTTTATTAAACCTCACAGCACACCTAGACACTGTATTGTTAGTTTACAGATGGCAGGAGAATAGGGGAAAAATCGAGACACAAAGGAAACAGTTACCCAGAGCCATACAACATCTTCTGCTCCAGGCTTAAAGATCTCATCAGCCTGGGTCCTCCACCCTTTTATGTGACACTATTGAACTTTATTCTTAATAGAGTCTTGTTTGTCCTAGTTTTGGTATTATTATTTCTAATTAAATTCAATAAAATGACTGATTAGCAATGATAATTCAAGCTGGGCTGATGAAAGCTGTTAGAGTAGTTAAGCATTTATTCAAATAACCATTTCCCATGCCCTAACACAGATCTTCCACAAAGGAGTGATATAAAATGTTTTTAATAAATCAGGGAGCAAAGACCTCTTTCAAAACTTAATCATCCCAGTGACTCCGACTCTAAGCCATCAAAATACATTACCAGCATGGAGGGAGGGAGCAATTGTGTTAAATCTTTTTCCCTTCAGAGTGGAAAAAACATGTGTTCTCCATAACCTGCATCATCTTAGCTTTGAAGAGGATTTTCCATTTTTTTTTTTTTTTTTTAAAATGAATCATAGAATGGTTTAAGTTGGAAAGGACCTTTAAGATCATCGAGTTCCAACCCCCCTCCC